AAGGTGACAATATAGAGCCTTGACGTAAGCACATTCAGAGTCACTCAGATCTGTAGCCTGGGGCACAAGAATCAGCAAGACCATCCCTTAGACGTGATAGTCTTACCCTGGATCCCAACACTTACTTTCATTGACCTACTTATTGTTGTCCATTTTCCTGCCTGTTTTCCTTGTGCTGTTCTCTTCTCCTGAAATGTCCATCACCTTCCATCCCTTGTTATTAAAGTCTTCCCCCTTTTATGAGGTCTTTCGAGATTTCCATTGTCTGATTATATATTCTCCTTGTCTATTCTCCTCTTGCACAGTGTATGTAAGTATAATCAGCCCTCAGCTATTTAGGGTAATAGGACTAGATGTGTGTTGGGGGCAAGGAGTACAGTCTGTAATAGTCAAAATACAGTTTGAAGTGGAGTTAGTGTAAACATATTTGGCTATGATTACATCTTATGTGCAGAGAGCACATTTATTACTTGCCTCTCCAGCAATCATTCACCCAACTTCTAACCACAGTCTGATTTCCAGCCTCAGGTCACATGATCTGAGAACAGCTCTACCCTCTTAGAGTCTTTTTTTAAAATTAATTAAATTATTTATTTATTTTACTTTACAACATTGTATTGGTTTTGCCATACATTGACTTGAATCCGCCATGGGTGTACATGTGTTCCCCATCCTGAACTCCCCTCTCACCTTCCTCCCCATCTTAGAGTCCCAAGGAAAGTATATGACCTTGGCTTAAACCAGTCGGAGCATTACGTTTCCTTTGCCAAAGTGGTCAGTGTGGACATGTGACCTCGGCTGATCCAGGGTGGATCTTGGGACCTTTCCTTGGCATTTGTGGAAATATGAAGTGGAAATAGGCAGCCCCAGGCAACCATCTTGTAACTAGGATGGAAGAATCTTCTGAGAATGAAGTCAGGATAAAGGAAACAGAGTCCGAGTTGGAGAGAGAAAATTGGAAAGCTGATAACATTTTTTTGGAGTCCTATATCCAGCCACTCCTGTATTCTTACCTGGAGAATCCCATGACAGAGAAGCCTGGTGGGCTACACTCCGTAGGGCTGCAAAGAGTCGGACATGACTGAAGCAACTTAGCATGCACACACACATCCAGCCACATCTGAAACTAGACCTTAAGTTTAGCTAGCCATGCAAGATTTTGTTTGTTTAACTAGTCTGGGTGGGGATTTCTGTCACTAAGAACCATAATATCCTGAGAAAAGAATACATTTATCAGTCTGTAAATATCACTCAAAAATATGGCAAGAGGAACTTCCCTGGTGGTCTAGTGGCTAAGACTCCACCCTCCCAATGCAGGGGTTGGGTTTGATCCCTGGTCAAGGAACTATTAATAGATCCCATATATCATGACTAAAAATCCTGAATGCTACAACTAAGACCCAGCACAGCCAAATAAATAAATATTTTAAAAATTATGGCAAGGATCCAAATAC